TTAAAAACCAAAATAAAAATTGATTGAACACAAAACAGCAAATGAGTACGAATCATTTAGTTAGTTCGTATGTGATTTTGGTATTGAAATTTTAATTATCTCGATAAAATTACAATTGGTAAACGTTAACGTGTCATAATAACCGAGTAAACAGTGACCAGCAGTTTCGCCATATCGCGCGGCATTATTATTCATGAACGGGTTTCCAATTTTCGAATTCGTTACATCTCTGGATGCCAAATTACTTAACAAATCCAACACTTTAATTTACTCGAATAATGCGGGTATTTATTTTATTGCTTTCAAACCATTTGCATTCTGGCGAAGACGCTCACTACGCTACACTAGAAAGAATTTATGAAGTTGTAAAAACAAATGTAAAGGGTTAGTTTTACACCAGCTCTAATTATAACATGGTAATTTTCAGCTGACGTGGGTGGACCATTTTTATTGACTTTTTAACCTACTAATTTTATATTCTCTCCAATGTAGAGAAGAATAAAATCACCTATAAAAAAATCCAAATATTTATAAAAAATTAAACATTTAAATTTGCTTTTCTAAAGGTAGGATATTGACTTGATTTATATTTGTGTTTTAGGTTTTCCACTTATTAAAAATTCACAATTAATAGGTCTATAAAATTTACCAAACATTTCATTGCTGAAATCAGACTATACCTTTTAGTCCGACCTCAAAAACTCAAAAATAAAAGCTAATATTATTTCTTTTAGCTTTTACAATAAATTTTCTTATCATCTAGAAATTTATGATTAAAACGATTAATCAAATTTTTACTTAAACTAAACTTGGGGTGTTAGTTGTTGGTAGGGGCATATTTTTCTTTGTCTTAGTCTACATCTTGTCATTACTGACTTCATAGTAGATTCGGCCAGTCTTTGTTTTACTAGGCTAAAGAATAGAAAAAAATAGGAATAGCCACAAATTATTTGCCCCACTGTATGTAATCCATTACATGTCATCAGAATAATACAATAATTGCCCTATAGGGGTGTATTGATTTTCTATGTTTAAGTTCTGAATTTCTTAATTCAATGCCTATTTGTTTAATGTTTTTTTAAAGTGTCAGTTGTTTGATTTGGTTTTAAACATTTTTTTAATAAGGCAGGCCTCTTAATTTTATGGGTTTTGTGGCTTTCTTACTTGATTATTGGTTTATGTATACTGCTCTGCTATTCTAGTAAATGACCGCTATACTAAGTATGAACGCCTTGTTTAGTTTTTTTTACATTTTTGTAACCATTGTCTTGCGACTAAGTTTACTACTATAAGTTTAATCAATTTCGTGTCCATAAGGTGATCTTTATTTCACTGTAGATACTATGCACTATATTTGCACTGTAGGAGTATATTATTTTGTGGAATGTGTACTTGTGTGTATTTCGAGAAATCAGGTTTTTTTACTTTTGAGGTCAGAATCAAATTTGGCGCATTAAAAATCTTCCAAAATATATATTCCGATTTTAACAATATAAGGTTAGTTAAATATTAATTTTAAATATATTAATATTGATTTTTATAGTATTTAATTGTTTAACTTAATAAATTACTATTTGCCCATAGGATTTCTTACAAAGACAATACTTTAAAATTATCTCTAAGCAATCCATAAACTTTTTCCATCATAATAAAATTTAATGCTTTCCACTTTAATAAATGAGAGGTAAAAAGTAATTACCAACAAATTATTGCAGATAAGTATTAAACGATAATAAAGCAATAAAATTAGAGAAAAGAGGGTTGAGACTTTATCTGTCTTTTTGAACAGTTTATGGTTTCTTGAGGTGCAGTCACCATAATGAATTGGATTATAGCTATACTTTACCAAAATTAAATGCTTCATTTGACATACTCTCTTGCCAAACTACATTGTTACGGATGTTATATGTTAGTCGTTATCATAAAAAATACCATATCCTTTATAATCCTTATAAAAGTAACGACTAACATGTTAAATTAAACAAATTAAGCACCTTTCTAACAAGGAACCTAAACTTTAAGGTCTAATGTTATTTATTTATTTTTTGCTCTATAGGATAAGGTTTATCCGATAAACCAGATGATTTTAAATTTATTAATTTTTCATTATACCCCCGAATTTATAAAAATTTAAAATATAAATAAAAATTATTCTACATTATATGAACTAATCTTATTGTTTCATTCCTAATCTTATTATTCTTTAAGGTAAAATTTGTTAATACATATAAGAACAAAACAAATTTTAAGACTTGATGCTTAGAGAATCAACATATTTTTTTGTTATTTGGGCAAAAAGCTGAACATATCGTTTTTGGGAAATCTATGCATTTTTACACTTCCCCCCTGCTTTTGCACTTTTGCACACAACAAGAGTAAACCATAATAATAAATACACAATACAAATTTAAAAGGTTTTAAAGACTACAAAAATTTAAGTTATTTTTGCCCCATGTCTAATTATTATGACAACTAGTCTCGGTGACGAAAACAACTTTGGCGACATTAGCGCCTCTGGCAAGCGTAATCTACATTTCCCAGCGGTCAAGTTGTTGTACAGTAAAGATGCACAACCATGGGCTGAAGTTAGCTTCAAGTAAAAATTGGGAAGAAGTGTGGTTAAAACCGTTTGACAAATGTCAGATTAAAAAAAAGTGATACAAAAACGGCCTGACAGTATCAGAAGTCATATAAAATGTCAAATAATTTAAATTGTGAAAAAACATTAATTTGTGTTTGTTAATAAAGTAGGTATGTTTTGCATACAATGCAATTTATTTTATAAAATTGTGTCAAAATTATCCACCCAATTGGGTAGACACATGTACTCCCCTGGTGCCAAAGCAAAATTATGCAAACTCCTCGTGACTGCCAGAGCTATAACTTAGTTAATATTTATCGTAGAAATATTTTACAAACACATATATGTTTGTTATGAAATTAATAAGTTTTTTGGATTGTTTAACCTATCTACATCACTTCTTTACCTTACATTACATTACATTATCTTTGGTAGGGTCCACCCAAATGGGTAGACAATAAAATTAAATACAAAATCTGTTTATTAAAATTATTAATGTTTTTGACATTAATTATTATTTATTTGAATCTCCATTTCAAAAGAAATAAACGAATTAAATGTTTAATCTAACCTCACTCTAGTACTTAATATAGGACAATGTATACCCATTTGGGTGGAACAGAAACCTGGAATTTGGAAGAATGAAAAACTAACAAAAGAGCGCTCTGTACGTACAAATAAGTAAACACACCTATAAAAAGGAAACTATACTATCGATTTAAATCATATTTTCCGCTACTTTTCAACGAATGGCTTTTATATACGCCAATAAACAAAGGTCTACTGCCCACCCGTTCGGGTTCTTGTGTCAACCCAGTTGGATAGACAACAGCAAAAATTTGAGTTTACAAAATATATGCCTGGCAGTCAACGTGTTAATTTAATTCTGACGTTTACATTTAAAGTCAATCACACTGCATGGTCGTCATGGTAGCGGGAGGGAATGGAACATTTGAGGAGGTGCATTCCAAAACTCGGCTTATCCATATTACCTAGGTGATTTTGAGTAAAATGTAAAAAATCTTACACGTGAGTACTAACGCATATGGGCATATGCGCATATCAGGCCAACAGAAATACTTTAAACGAAATATGTCGGCATTAGTATAACATTAATATACCTTTATTAAAAAGGTATGACTTCAATTTGAAATAATTTAAAATTACAAAATGAATAAAGCAAGTTTTGGCTCGACCGGTTGGATACGAAAAGTTTTGGAATATTCGATTTTGAAAAGTTTATTTTAGAGAAAAATTTGTTTTTAATTTAAATAAACTTAAATTCCCACAGAAACTTTCTCACATTGTGGCACTTCTTCCTCTTGTTCATCCATCTCGTTTAAAAGACGTTTATAGAGTTTCAGGTCACGTGATCAAATTTTGTAACGCTCATAGGGCCGGTTTTTCAATCGTTGGTTAACTTTATCTTACGGTTAATTTCCTTAGATACTATTGTTAACACAATAGTATCTAAGAAAGTTAACCGTAAGTTAAACTTAACCAACGATTGAAAAACCGGCCCATAGGCTCAATTGTATAAGCCGAGTTCTGACATAACATAACCATACGATAGTCAATTTGTAAATGAATTTTAAATGGAATAAGGTGAGTTTTAGAATATTATGACACCACTAACTCATTTTTATTAAAAAGTGGATAAGCCGAGTTTTGGAATGGATCTCCTCATTTCTTACCTGATTAGCGGGAGGGAATGAATATATATACAGGAGAAGAAATAAGATTGTTCACAGTGGGATAAAGGAATGTCATTCATTATTAACCAATGCAACTATAATCGGCGCATTATTAATCACTCGACAAAAAACATAATTTTGGCGTAATTGTTAATAAAAATATGTTAAATGTTTAATATCATAATTTTGTTCATATAGTCATATAGAAAAGTGATTTTTTCTCCCTTAAGGCAGTCTTGGAAAAGTGAACTTTAGCTAGATATAATTTGAAGTAACATTTTAAGCTGGGCTAAATTCACATTATTAACCCAAATGTTACTAGCGTCCTTTTAAAAGAAGGCTATACAGTTCTCTATAATAGCTAGTATCTTAGGTCAGTGAAATGGGGCTATTAGTCTAGTTCTTAAAATGTAGGTAAGTAACATAGACAATATTTAAATATCAACTATATTTATTTTTCTTAAAAAAAATACCTATTTTGAGGTTATAAATTCTTAAAAAAATAATTAATCCATTTATAGGTTGCTCCTTGGGGTATTTTTGTAACCGTCCTGTTAAAAGGACGCTAGCAATTTAGGCAACCAATAGATTTTTAATAATCAAAAGTCTATTAGATAACTATTATACTTTTGATACCAGCTTTTGGAAAAAGCCTTTGACTTTACATGAGCTTTTGGAATAAGCTGAGAATTGTTATATTCCTTTAGACGTAGTTATTTTTCCAGCGGAAACTGCAACCGAAGACTGATGTGGATTCTAGTGAAGATATAAATAATCTACCCGGGAGTGAACTGCGAGCACCGGTCGAAATTTTGGAAACGCATGATACTAATGAAAACTCTAATTCAGAGATAGATCCTGATGAGGTTGTACCTATTTCAGTACTTTGTGGAAAGGCAAAGTATATTTCAAAACGCAAAATATTGGGTTTTACAGAATATCGATTCGGGGCAAGAAATTGTACTTTCCGCTAATTTACCATTGCATTAATATGCGCAGGTGTACTAAGTGCTCCGTTTTTATTAAAACCTCTATATCTTTTTTTCGTTTGTCAGCAGTATAGCCATTTTAAAACAGCAGTGCACTCAGTGCACCGCGCGACAACTTATGTTACAAAAATTGGCGTAAGTAGTCTTAACTATTTTTTAATAAATAAAAAATGCTTTTTGATTTTTCCTATAAAATTTATAAACTTGACAGCTCTAGAAGTATTTTCAGATGGTGTGAGATTCTGAATTTTGAAAATAATATCATTCAGCTTCCCGTACCGATTTCTGAAAAAAAAGTCATTCATTCAAAATTGCATCTGATTTGGCAACACTGATATATTAACAAAACATTCTTACAAACTTTTATTTGGTTTGAATATGTTTATTAAGAAATAATACAAAATAAATATCGTTCAATCTAACGCTGTAATAGCTTTTACCAGACTTAGAAAAAGCCAATTTTTGAATTTATTATTTAGTTTTTGCGTAAATTAGTTAATCAAGTAAAATTGTAAAAACTAAGATTTAATTGACCTTAATGACTGTGAAAACAACAATACTTTAGGTAAATATCAGGAAGCGCCTCACAATTTGCGCTAAAACGGAACAAAAATATGCATGCTTATTAAAATTCTTAGAGGAAAATTTGCAGAATATGGGTCGGTCTGTCGTAATTGCATTGTTAGCATTTCAGACATCGATTTTGTAATCAAGCATGGAGCAATAAATTTCCTTTTCTTTTTTCCAACTTCCTTGGGATCCAATCAAATTTGTTCTTATGTTTTATATCTTTTGTTTGATGTAGCTCGTGGTTTTATTAATTTTTAATGAAACAAAACTCCTTGTAAACAAAAGCATATCGAAACGACATAAGTCCAATACAAGGGCGCGGCGGCAATGCCTGATTGCTTGATAAAATCAAACTAATTTAAATAACAATGGCAACTGTGTGCACTGTTATGTTTGTATAATAATAATAATTATAAATTATAAGAAAATAATGTAAACAGATGTATTTCTTTAGTTTTGATTGATTATACATGGTGATCTATAACAAGTGGACCAAACTTTTGTACTGAAATAAAAATTCAGTTAAAATATTAACTCTTAATTTCAATTTTAAGAGGTTCCTCATTGAGTTTAAAAATGTACTATTGAAATAACACAGAAAAATGAGTTTTTCATCCAATACTCTTTTTAATTTACGGGAGTACCTATATAAAATACGTAAAAATAATTCGAAAGGTCAACGTATACTCTCTCAAAATGAATTAGTCAAAAATGACTAATTGTCATAGCGAAAAAGCAGCCACTAATAACTGTAGTCCACATCAATTTCTCATCAGGACATTTAGCCAATTAGGAAAATTGATTATATCTCAAAAACTGTTTTACTTTTGACGACATCGAAAATTATACCTAGAAATTGAATGCTAAATGTCCGAGATACAAAATGCTGTTGACTAGAATTATAAGTGGCTGCTTTTTTGCTATAACAATTAGTCATTTTTGACTAATTTACTTTAAGAGAGTACACATGTCCAAAAATGCCTAGCGAGATACAAGGTGTTAAATTTTTTTTGTGTTAATGTCTTTAACACTACCGTATTTTCCACATAATACGCTAAAGAAGTATCGGGTTTTCGCAACGCGCGCGCCATCTCGTGGACTTCAATAGCATTGCGTGAATTTAAGAATTGTCAACAATACATTTAAAGCATGCATTTTTAAATAAATAGGTGGTTTTTTCACAAAAGATGGGAAGGCAGAAGTCTTACTCGACAAATTTTGTTCAATTGCATAGCTAAATCGCGCACGTTATTTGTGTTTTGCGTTGCAAGGAAAAAAACTAAAAAACTGGTTTAGTACTCAATTTAGATTGATTATTCTTTATATCATTGATTAAGAAACTCAACGCTTAAATGCTTATATAGTTAAGTTAGTGTGTGTATTTTATCTAAGGGATCATGGTGAATTATTGTGTTTTTAACTGTAAATAAAATTCAAGAACTAAATCGTTGCATTTTCATGTTTTGCCAAAGTACATTTGTTGGTGCAGAATTAACTAATGATAACTTTACCTAATATAATTTATATTTAAGTTTGGACATTTTTAAGAAATTAGTCAAAAATAATGTTTGCACAAATATAGACCTAAAATCAACCATTTTATATTTGAGTTCTCTAAAAAACGCCGTCAACTGCATTTTAAACAACAAAATATACCTACAAATTCATGGCAACTTAATATTATATATAAAGATGGGATATTTAGGTACTAAAAACTGAAAAATAGGTAACTAAAAAGGTACTAAAAAATAGCATTTTAGGTTAAAAAAACAGCATTTTAGGTAAAAAAAAACATTAAAAGTTTCGTTTATAATTTTGTTTAGCCGCATAACCAAACACAGAACATACCCACAATAAACTATTTCTATGCAATAAACTGTGTTTCACTGAGTGACACTCACTACACAGAAGTTCTATGACAGAACATAAGCTCACAACAAAGAAGGTAACTGTAAAGAAAGTTACTGTTACAGTCTGTGACCATAAGAAAAAATTCTTTACCGTTGAGTTGCACGCCTGGATAAAATATTGGCGCAAAATTTAAAAAGAACACAAAAAATAAAATAAGTAAAAATACGTAAAAATAGGTTAAAATAAACTGACAAATTAAAAAATATGTAACAAAAGTATAAAAAGGTAGTTTAAAGCAAAAACCTCCAAAAAAGGTAAAAAAGGTGAAAACGTTAAAAAAGTAGGTAACAAAAGTATAAAAAGGTAGTTTAAAGCAAAAACCTCAAAAAAAGGTTAAAAAGCCAAGAAAATCTTTTAAAACACATTTTGGCATTATTGGTTTTCAAATAGTTATATCGGTTGAAAAAAGGTAAAATATATAGTTATAACTAAAATTCCATCCCTAATTATATATAATACATAATATAATGATATTTTACCGTTGAGTGGAGACTTTAAAGAATTCTTAATCAACACTTTTAATAATGCTAAATGCTGTTTAAATTTAAATGACTTATTTGTTTGACGATTTTTACTAAATTGAAATGTTTACACTTTTTACGTTAATCATTACTAAAATGTGTATTTATTGTATCTAATAGATACAATTTATATTTACAGAAACTGTATGAAATTTATTTCTTCTTTCGGATTAACACTGTTTATTGGAAAACCGATAAAAACTCAACTCAGGATTTCCTCTCGAAATACACCCAACAACACAACAAATCGAGCCACGGTTTTTTTCCGATATTTTTTAACATTTTCCGGCGTTATTCTTAAAAACACGCGTTTGTCAGCTGATTATCAAAATTTATACTTTTGTTTCGATGATAAAAGCCGAGTGGTTGCGCTACTAGCGATACTACATTAGCGTATAATAAATTAAATTTTATTAATAATTTATAGATTTTTAGTTTTGTACTCTTACCATCGTCAGCACTAGGTGGGGGACAATATTTATTACCAAAACTACACTCACAGACAAAAATATTGCATATTTTTTTAAATCTTGTTTTATTTTGAAGTGTTCTACATATATTAGTATTTTTATAACACCCGTGGATATACAAAAATGCTTAGATTTGTATATTATAAGTGAATTAGCAATATTTTACAATTAGGGCAATATTTGATAATGTGCTTTGGAGAGTCAGAAGTTACATTATCAGAGTGACATTTTTAGTGCATTTTGCATTGATTTTGAGTTTTTTGTTAGTAAAATGCCACATCTGAATGAATTAGAGGCTGTTTAAATTGTTACTCTAGCTAACGAGGGTCGCAAGCAAGAAGATATTGCTCAAATACTTGGAATACATCAATCGACGGTCTTTCGTGTTCTACAACGATTTGAAGAGACTAGGGAATACAGAAGGCGACATGGACAAGGACGTAAAAGGTGTACGACGCTAAAGGATGACCAATGTGCAAGCTTTACGAAATCGCACATTTACAGCTCTGCAACTAAAAAATAAACTATTGAATGAAAGGCAAGTAAATGTAAGTGTAAAAACAGTAAGAAGAATACTTAAGGAAGCTGGTTTAAATCCGAAACGTCCTGCTAAAGTCCCTCGGCTTCTCCCACATCACAAAACCGCCCGGTTACCATTTGCACGAGCTCATGCTGATTGGGGTGAACATGAATGGAGCAGAATTCTTTGTACAGATGAGAGTAGAATACAATTGTGGAAGCCAGATGGACGTAATCGAGTCTATATAAGAACTGGAGAACGGTACGCTGCATGTAATCTTGCTTAGCTTTGGTGGAAGTTCCATTATGCTATGGGGTGGCATCAGTTGGGAAGGTTGCACAGCGCTTGTTGATGTTAATTTGAAAATGGATGCAGACCGATACCTTCGAAACATGATTGAAGAACATGTTTTACCATATACCGGCTTTATTGGGTATGAAAGATTTGTATTGATGCAGGATAATGCCCGGCCACATGTAGCCGGTACAGTGCATCCAGTACTCCGTTAAGTCCTGACTTAAACCAGATCGAGCACCTATGGAACATTTTCAAACGCCGTATACGAGCTCAAAATCCAGTCCCTAATGCAACAAAACATTACCAAATGCAGCTCACGAAGAATGGAATAGAATTTTGTAAAAAACCATTAGAGATCTTCTGCGCAGCATGCCCAGAAGAATGAAGGCTGTAATTAGAGTTAAGGGAGGTAATACCCATTACTAATTCATCTTTATGTTACCTAAAAAAGAAATTATGTTGTCGTTGTTGTAGCTCTTTTTAATTAAATGTTTTAACTAAAATCACCATATTTTATTCAATCATCCACTAACCTAACACTATATAAGAAAAACGGTACTAATAATATACGGAGAAAACTTTAAAATATTACATTTAGCAAAAACAAGTGCATAAATTTTATA